AGAACTTTTTTCTGCGGCGAAGCTGCATTTGCAAGAAAACCCTTTACATTCGAAAAAATAAGTTTCGCCCGAAAAATTTGGGTTGCAATAATTATTAATGAATCTATTGAACCTCAGTTCTTTGACTAGAGTTTCAATAGCTTTTTTCAAGAACCTTTAGATTAACTTAATTCTAGGCTGAATCGGACTTGGTGAGCTCAAACCGGCGATATTTCATGACCCGTTGAGAATCCCGGAAAAATACGAAGAACAATTTTTGCTAAAAACTAGTTCAAGAACGTATATACAAAGTATCTTGTCCACCCTATATGCAGATCGTGAAGCATTTCGGGTCAAAAACTGTAAGTTTAGCTCAAAAAACCCACATGTGAACGATTTGGGGCCGCCACGTTCCTAATGGGCAACCAAACCGGATATTCAGTGACGAAAAATCAAAACAACATTTAACCAAGTTGGGTGTTACCTCGAAGGAGCATTACGTTAATATTGTGCATAAACGATTAAATAGGCGTAAAAATATCAACCGTTAAATTGCCACAATAAAAAGCGGCCGAAGTGATTGTTCAGAGTAATGGCGGATAAACCGCAGCGGTAATTTGCAATCGGAAGGTCGTCCTGATAAGGAAAGTGAGTTCTTGCTTAAGAGAGGCAAAAGCATGAAGTTTGCCAGGCGGACGAATTGGGAGATGTTCCGCAAAAAAACCTGCCGGATAAGAGAAAGTGAGTGAGCGATCTCACGCAGCCATGTCGAAATTGAACAATACCGAAATTTGCGGAAATTACTTCGAATATAGCCATTAAATATGAATTATTATTAGAGCATTCAGTTGATTACACTACGAGCTTTTAAAATTTCAAATTAATCTCCCGATACCATCCATTTATGTAACTAATTTCTAATGCGAAGAACCATTAGCTCGTCCAAAATGTGCGCGCTGATTCTATCTACCTATGCCAGATTAAATTGGTTTAGAGGACAAAAACATTTTTTTAACTTACACCCCTTAAGCGACGCCAATGAAATTATGAATCAATATAAAAAAGTGAGTGAAGTGTTTCGTGTGGGAGTTCAAATGTTCGATCACGGTTTTCATGTAGTGCAGCAGCAGAAGAAAAAAGCGCAAACCAATGCAATTACTCGCGACTCGGCTTGTGTAACTGCTTTTTTTGTCCTCTTAATGGCACTTTGTCCGCACTAACAATCTCTTTTCGCTAGTTTAGTAATCACGTTACATTTACTTGTACCTTTGGTAACATACAAACGGACGCTGGTTGTGGTTTGCTATGCACATAGTGGTCAGAATCACAAAACCCCAACCATCAGTATGTTAAAAGTTTTATGAGCACATTAAGGCTTTCAGCAGATTGCATTTCAAAATTACCTTCAACCTGCACAGAATCACCCTAAGGAAAGTGACTATTGAAGTTGAAGTTGTTGTAAAAAAGCCCGTAGTACTATGCGGTTTTACATTTTCACAGTATATTTGTCTTCTAAACCAATTATATATTGGAAAAATATATGGTGGCTTTTCTTTGCCATCTGGAGACATTCCTAGGTGCGCGCCACTAGTAACTAAAATCTTTGATAACTTTTAGCTCTAAACAGGCCAGAAATTATTCCTTACGGATTAACGGGTGCGATTAACATTTGCTTTATCAACTTTTTTTGGGATCAACAGCTACTACAAATAAATGTTTTATAAGGAAATCGTGTAAAGCAAAAAATTAAACGCGACTGTTTTTTACAATTACCGCAAAAGCTTAGTTTAGAACACAACAATAATGCTGAAAAATAATTGCAATCGTTTTTGCGAGAAAAACTGGAAACTTTACCAGCCGCAATTAAGGCCATTTGTTCAAAGAAACCACCGAGAATAGTTCAGTGTTTTGGCTAAAACAACTTTTTTGCAATTAAATGATCACCAATGTTTATTGTTGCATATGTTGGGCGCGCCGATTATGGCTTAGAGACCACCCGTACACGCCATGATTATACTTTTGTAAAAGGATCGACTCACATCGTTTGCAAAATGCATCCTAATTAAGTATGATAATTTCAATTGCATAGTGATCTATTTGAAGCGAAAATATCAGAGCGAAAAGCGAATTTTCAAACATTTTCAGTCTCCAAAACTGGCCTAAAATTTCTATCGTTTTTCAATAGTTTTGCGCCTAAAAATTCCCATATAGATTCAGGGCTTCTGCATAAATTAATCATTATAGTTTGCCTTGATAACGTGATTTGAATCGGTGTAAAAACCAAAGCTGATTTTTCAAAATTTTCCAGCGTTTAGGCACTGAGGATGCCAAAGTAAATATGGCGAAACGTCGGAAATATTACAAAATTTACTTTGTTTTCACGGCAATCGAAATTGCGTTGCGCAATCAAAAAGCAAATGCTTGTTTCCTAAAATTGCCGACGTTTTGTCATATTTATTTTGGCGTCCTCAGGGCAGCGACACGTTCAGACCCTGATGATGCCAAAATATATATGGCAAAACGTCGCAATTTAAAAATTATTTACTTTTGTGTTCAAGCAAGAGCGTGTTTCTTAAAATTGCCGACGTTTCCAAATATTCATTTGGGCATCATCAGAGTCTTAACGTTCCGTTGCCCCGATGATGGCAAAATAAATATTGGAAAACATCGTCAATTTTGAAAAACTGACTTGTTCTCACATCAACCCAAATCGTAAAAGCAAGAGCTTGTTTCTTAAAATTGCCGACGTTTCGAAATATTTATTTTGGCGTCTTCAGGGCAGCGGCACGTTCAGACCCTGATGATGCCAAATTAAGAAAACTGGCTTTTGCTTCGACA